CCTAGTCAAGGAGATACATATATTCTAAATCTTCTCTCTTTTAGTTGTCATTATGCACACACTTCACACCTTAATTTTGTCATTTATATTATAATGTACAGTAATTCGCTGATCTCTAAAGTACCTTCTCTGTAGATACTTAAAAAAGAGCAAATACATCCAATATTAATATATCAATCTCTGATTGAACATCTCTATCATTCAGACAAAGAGATACATTATTACATATCAACTAAACAGACATTTGACAATGGATCCGTAAATATTAATTTCAACTTATCGACTTAATCCAAATCCTAAAACACAGCTTAGCCAAATTTAAATTAAATAGTCAAAAGGAAAAAAAAAATCAAGATTGTGAACTTGCTACTACATAAAAGGCATAAATTTTGTACTTCTCCAAATAAATATTTTTCTTCATTTCTTAACCATAAGGAATCACTTCGTCTGATTCAACATTGATGGTATTGAAGTTTGAACTTCATGTGGACTATCTTAAAACTTTCTTTTCAAGCATATTGCCCAACATGTTATTAATTATGTATTTAATTTTAATTTACTATCTGTGTAAAAAAAAAATTAAATATAATTTAATCATTTATAAACAAATTATATATAAAAAAACATCATCGCAATTATTAATTAAGAAATCTAACTTTTTCAGAATAATATTGTACTAATACATTATGTTGGATAATATTATAAAAAGATTAATGGAATGAAATTTAAACTTATTAGCCCTTTTCACACATTTGATGTAAAATGAACAAGTTTTTATCGGATTAATTCAAAATTAAATATTTTATCTAAATAATACAACGAGATGCATATGAAATATATATATTCAAATCGCACATAACAAATACTTATCTATCATGCTACAAGTTGCACAATATTACATGTGTGATGTGGCAAACTTATCTTTGCCTATGCATAAGTCGCGCATTCCTTCCATATACGATTTAAACACACACAACCCCCTTACATACATTACTAATTCAAAATTTAAATCAATTCAATAAAAAGTTCCCCATTTTACGTCACTATAAAAGCCTATAAAAAATAAACTTAATATTCAAAGATTATACTGAGATGTAACTCAGTACTCCGGAAACGAACTCGTGAGTGAACCAGAATAATCAGGTGTCTACACCTCCACGATTGATAGATTCAACAAAGTTGCCCTTCGGGATTTGGAAACTAAAACCCGTGAACTTCATTAAAAAAAAAAAAAAAAACCGTGAACTTAGCGTCTTGATCTGCTTTGTCCGAACCAAATGCCATGCAAAACTCAATGTTACTCACTCCCACTACTGGAAAAGTCACGAATAGCGAGGGAAATTTGCGAGGGAAAAATTCCCTTGCAAACTGCGACGGAATTTGCAAGGGAAAAACAATTGCTAGGGAAAACAGACAAGATTTTCGTTACTACATTGCCGTCGCAGAATCCCTTGCAGTTCGGTCGTAATTTCGTCGCAATTTGCAAGGGAAATTGAATCCCTCGCAACAATCATAAGTCTGTGACGGAAACAGCGAGGGAAAAAATTGGCGACGGAAGTTCCCTCGCATAATTTAGGATCAGAAAATTGCAACTGAAATTTCACAATTTCCCTCACAAATTCCCTTGCAAATTGAGAGGAAATATATTCCCTCGCATATTGCGAGGGATCATATTCCCTCGCAATTTGCGAGGGAATTTGTGAAATATATTCCCTCACAAAATTCAAAAATAATATATAAATCAAATTTAAAAGGGATAAGGGCATAAATTGGTCGCCGCATCATGCGTATGAGAAAAAATCATTAAATATGTCGTCGCATCCTTTATGGTAGACATTGAGTGCATGTAGTGATAGTAGTGCCTATGTGAGCTAGTCATAGGAAATATAAGACTCTGTTGATATTTAAGGTGTTTGTAAAAATTGTTCAATAATGAGAAGCAGAGAAAAATGTCTGAAAGATTCCTGTTCCAACCACCCTCTTCGTCATCACTGTACAAATTAAATGAAAAGTGACACATGCTTCCGATGCCACCAAAAAAGGCATTGTTCTTTGTAGTTGGGCTTTAACCACTTAATTAAAAGTCAACTCCAGCCAAATAAAGAAAGCTAGGGTTCCCAATTCAAGATGTTCAGCAGCCTTTTGAACGTGCATGAATAGCGTTTTGAAGACAAGTGAATATGAAAATCAGTCACTATAAGAGAAAATAGAGAGAGCCATTTCAGAAACTTCACAGAAGAATTGAAGAAGGAGTAATCTTTGATCATTCTACGATATATCTTTCATCTACCGTTCGGTCCAGCTGAGATTCTGTTAGTAGCATCACCAGAAATTCGAAACGAACACTACTATGTGTGTGCGATTCTACTGCAGGCAACAATCTGGAGAGAATGTTTTTTTTTCTTAAGTTCACTGTTGGATCGTGCTGAAATACTTTAAGCAAGAGTTACACTTATTATACTTCATATCTAACGGTCAGTTTGTCGATTGGAGCTCTCTCTCTCTCTCTCACACACACACACACACATATAACTTTGAATGTGTGCGAGTAGCATTTTACTGACAATAATACAAGCGAAATCAATCACAATAAGAGAAAAGAGAGAAGAAACCTTCAGAAAATAAGCTAATTTAAGAACAAGAATGAACAGTCCTTTATCATTTTTCGATATGTCCTCATCTACCGTCCGATCGAGCTGAGATTTTGTTGGCATATTCCTGACTCATCATTATTCATATCCAACGGTGGCATTTCTGGTTGGAGGCATGTAGCATCACGAGAAATTCCAAACCGAAGTGGTTTGTGTGTAGGATTCTGTTTTAGGCAGCGATCTTGAGAGGGAGTTTTTTTTCTTAAGTCCACCGTTGGATCGTGCTAAAATACTTTAAGTAAGGGTTGCGCTTATTATACTTTATATCTAACGGTTATTTTTTCGATTTGACCTCTCAAGAGGGATTCCTGCAACTACTTTATACGGTGAGGACTAAGGAGGATACAGAAACAGCAAACACATGTATATATTCTTAATTTTTATTTTCTCTTTATATGGCCCCGCATGGGACTCACATATTTTTATAGCAATATACGTGATCAAATTATCTTGTGCAATATGAAAAATATTAACCTCACACACACATATATATTTTCTTTGATTTATGCTACAAAATATTATGATTGTCCATTTTTATTTAATTATATTAATATTTTTCTATTTCACTGTAATAGTGAATTTTATTAATAGAATAGTTTTTATTGTTTAATTTTCTATTTTTGATATTCTTTCTCTAGATTTTTGATATTTATATTCTATTGAATATATATATATATATTATTTTTTTATAGTCTTTATTTGTATTATTTTTGATTATTATTAATATTATACCCTATCTATTATATTTTTTAATTTTTTGTTTTTTGTTTTCGTATTCTATACAAAAATTTTCTTTTTTATATTTTATTCTACGTTTTAGGATATTGTGTAGTAAGTTAGGTTAAAAAGTCACTCTAATTTTTCTTTCACTCTCATTTTTACTGCGTCCCTCCAATTTTTTCCTCCCACTCACATTTCCCTCCTTTGAGAAAAGAGTTCCCTCCTTTCACTCTCCAGCGATTTGGCTCCTTTCAAAACTTGGTTGTTTCTGCGGATCAAGTTTCCAAGACCTTCATCTTTCGTGTTGATTCTGAATCCAAACCCTCTATTTTCCCCACCCACTACCACTGGTACGCCTCTGAGTTCCCCGAACAAACCAACATCCTCCACACATACGACACCGTTTTCCATGGCTTCTCTGCGTTTCTCACGCGCCAACAAGCTGCTTCCATAAGCCAGCACCCTTCTGTCCTCGCCGTCTTCGAGGATCGTCGCCGTGAGCTTCACACCACTCGCTCGCTTTAGTTCCTTGGCCTTCGCAACCAGCGAGGTCTCTGGTCAGAATCCGACTACGGCTCCGACGTCATCATCGGAGTCTTCGACACCGGAATTTGGCCTGAGCGCCGGAGCTTTTCCGATTTGAACCTCGGCCCCATTCCTCGCCGCTGGAAAGGGGTTTGCGAAACTGGGTTCAGATTTTCACCCAGACACTGCAACCGGAAGCTGATTGGTGCTAGATTCTTCTCCAAAGGTCACGAGGCAGGTTCCATTTCTCCAGGTCCTTTGAAAATGTAGTATGAATATCCTATCAAAGTACAAATTCTATCAAAGTACTTTTCAATTTTTGTTCTAAAACGTAAAACCAGACTTGATTATTACTTTTTAGTTTTCACCTAATTGGCTGAACATCACTCGAGTTCCTCTCTACCATCCTATTTTAAGGAAGGAGGCAAAGCTCTAACCGTAGAATAGTAGCCAAAACTCGTCGAAGATAAGGTAAGCTTAACAATCCTTAATGATTTTCACTCTTCTAGGTTCAACTATAGTATGTATTTCTCTGTCCTAAATTGTGTGCGAATTGCATGTGGAAAGGTCCCAATGGGTTGCCTTGCATGTGTCTTATTATGTTAGTGAATCCTACATATTTGTAAATATGCCACTGTTAGAAAACTTGGTGCTGTAAAGTGTTACGGGCCGGCCTACTTTAAATTTTATCGTAAAGGATGGTTATATGTGGTATGAATCTGCAAGTTTTCGATGATTCCATTGTGTGTTAGGAGCATTATTCCATTGGTGTTTTGCATTTTTAATGATCTAAAGATTTTTAGATAAATTTTGTAGTGGGCAGTGTCTTCTGATTTGACTGAATATGCTAAACCCTACTTTGTTGTTGTGTGATTAAACGGTGTAACGAAACAACTATCTGTCAATTACATGTGATCATTCCATGTATGGAAAGCCCTGTTTCATAGTTTTTGTTTTTTTGAAGTTCCCATGATTAAAATAATTTTTAGAAAATTTTAAGTGCAAGCTCTTTTTCTGTTTGACACAATGCATATGATCTGACTTTGTCATTGTCGTATGGTGAAACAATGTGATGAAATGATTTTTTGTTGCTTGCATATGAACATATAACATATAAGTACCCTCTTTCTTGGCTTCCCTGGCTTTCTCCTCTGCAACTCTCTGGAATTCTTCAGCTGTGGAAGGTGCTCTCTCTGCATCAAACTGCTACGGTTTCCATTGCTTGCTTCCCTATAATTCTGGTAAGCACGGTTCATTCACTCATTCATTAAATAACCAAAAAAGCCTACGTTACTTCCTGATCACTGTAAACAATTTCATATAGTGAAGACATAAGATAAAACTAATAATTTTGCCTTCAAGTTTTAACAAGCCTTTACGGGTTTAGCAGAGTTAATTTCCACTTTTCAAGGACTGGATTATGCAGAAAACCTTCCATTAAATACATGAAATCTGAAACTAAAAACAATTAAAATTCCACTTTTGGTTTATCTAATTTTGAAATCCTAATGGGATCGTTCTTACAGAAGAAAAAAAAGCTAACATAAATTAGTAACTCAACAACAAAGAATCAAATAGAACTATAGGTACACAAATTAAAAGGAACAATAAGAAAACATCCAGAGATAAAAAAGATAAATAAATAAAGATGATACCTTAGTGGGGTTGTAGAAGAATGGCCTACTAGGCTTTACCAAGGAAGATCGTGAAGTGGAATGGAGAAGAGTGAGGAAGTGACCACCAGCCATGGTTCTTCCCTTCCACTATTCGCAAGCAATGTTTGTTTGAGAGAGACTAGTTGGTAAAAAACATAGTAATGTGAGCGAGGCTACTTCATGCAACCCAAAAACAAAAGCACAAAAGGACAAGTGCACCTTACTTTAATCCACATGTCCACGTATTATTTGTTGCCTTTCCAGATGCTAATCCAATGTATCCTTACTTTAAAATGGAGCATTTTTCTTGATTAAATTTGTCAACAAAATTAAAAGATGTAAATATAATTTAAGGGATTAAAGTGTCTGCTGTGACTTTAGACAAGAGTGTCTGCTGTCCAATTTAACGGTGTCGTTTTAGTCCTTTTTTAAAAATCAAATCTTCTGTATTCATCTCGTTTGCCTGCCTTCTCTGTTCTATTTTGTTTCTTCTTTCATTGTTTCTTCTATTTTGTTTCTTCTTTCATAGTCGTCTTCTTTCATAATCAAATTATAACTGTCCCCTAAACACCTTCCCAAATTTTGGAGCATCTGGAGGGGTGATTCCTCGGAAGATATCTACCTTCCAAATAGAAAAAAGAAAGAAATATAAGGCTGGATTGTAGGGATATATAGCCTGCCATTACTTAATATCAAAGATAAACGAGTACAATCACATCTGCCATTACTTAATATCACAAGATGAGTCATACCATAATTGGGATCATACTCAATTGATTTTGGGTTACTAAAAGTAGCGGCAGAGTATGCCATGGTTGGGTAACTCTGAGCAAGCTAATTGGGAGCAAAATACAAACTTGGATCATGCCCATAATATGGTTGATCGTACTCATGAGTCTTGTAATCCATAAAGGCTGGAATTTCATCATAATCATATTTGACAGCGTAAGAGTTGAAATCGTACTCACCATAATCAGACCAGAATAGGTAGAGCTATAATTGGCCATGCTTCATCAAAGACTGAAGATGGAACCTTCAAAAGAGGTTACTTCAATACCAAATATGACACAGGTTCAGGATCAAGTTCGTTGGGAAAAAGAAGGGACATGACCATCCAATATCTTCTACTTATAATATATGTTCGGTGGTGATCATAGAATGCTTTTTCCCTTTACATTTTTTTTTTTTTTGGAAAATAACATTTAATGTTATTTCAGTTCACAGTAAGTCTCCCACCAACCTCAGAATTCTAATCTAAGCTAAAATGTCCACATGCAACTAAGCAAGGAAAGAGTAAAGCTTACTTTATGAAATATTGACAATAAGACAATAGTTGGTGGTGCCACGCTATTGAGACAGAACCTATTATCTACCATGTATCAAATGTCAACACTCACTATTCCTAAGCATGCCAAAGGAAGGATAAAAAATTTTCAGGAACAAGAAATAAGAAAAGAAAAGCCTAAAATAATGCTAAACAGTACATACCAAGCCTTAACAATGAAGTCATTGAAAGTCATCCCTTCCATTTAAGCTGTTATGAGCAGACCCCAGAAGCAGAAAAAACGCAAAAAAGGAGAAAGATGAGTACCTTCCTCGGGTACCAATTCTGAGGAGTGCCCATAATAGTAGCGAAAGAACTGAAATTCATGGATAAATTCACGTACTAGAGATACGAAGACGACAATAAAAGAAGAAACAAAATAGAACAGAGAAGGCAGGCGAACGAGATGAATACGGAAGAGTTGCACAGTAAGCAATTTGATTTTTAAAAAAGGACCAAAACGACACCGGTTAATTGCACAGCAGACACTCTTGTCTAAAGTCACAGCAGACACTTTAATCCCATAATTTAATTATGCACTGTTACACAATATTAAGTATGATATGATAACAGCTATAGAAATTTAATACTCTACATCAAAACCAAACTCTTTAAATAAATTTTTTGCACACGAAAAGAATATATTCTTAAAATTCCCAATTTTGTTAAGGATGCCAACAACATTACGTCATAACGGGCAGGCACAGATGTGCTATTCTTAGATTTCTTTCTATTAAATTCACCAAATAAATATCTATAAAAAGAATATACGAATTTCTTTTTGACAGCTGAACTATTATCATTATTATATTTATTCATATACATACTATATTATCTTGTGCACATTTGCATCGACCGTCCGCTGAGATTTTTTACTTCAGGTCTTTCAGGTAACAAATTTTTGAATGAAAAATAATTGCATGCTTGTATTGTGATGACATAGCTGTATATATGTAATGCCCCATGTTACATAGTATGTCCCCTTTATCTTGTGTACTTTCCCATTCTTTGTTTGCTCCCCCTAAATGCATGTCCCCATTTTCTGGTTTACTACCCTCATTCTCTGGTTGCTTGCTGGAATTGTTGAATGCATGTGTTTGTTTGCCACTTACTGTAGTAAGTTGCATCATATATGTGGCAATTGCTCGGTGTTTGCTGGTATTTGAATTGCACACTTATTATGGAATCAGATGTCGTGATATTTATGTATTTGGCCTTGTGTTTTCTAATATTTACAAAGTCAGGAGTATGGAAGACAATCATGATAGGAGTTGGATGTACAATCGTCTAACTGATAGAAGACAACTAACTCGAGCATTCTTGGAGGGTTTGGAAACGTTCATCCAATTTGCTCTGGAGCAAATAGGTACATCAAGTGATGTTATCAGTTGTCCGTGTGTGAAATGTAAGTGTTTTAAATTTCAAACGCCGGACAAAGTCAGGGAGCATCTGTGTAGATGGGGCTTCATGCCAGACTATGAATGTTGGCATATCCATGGGGAAATTCGGCAGGCATATGCTATTCCAGGAGGTTATTATGGGGAAACTAGTCAGCGAAACAACCTCAACGAATATGAACAGTTGGTTATGGATGCTGCGGGACCGTCGATTGGGCAAAATTTTGAACCCGATACTCATGCCGAACCATCCTTCATGGCAGAGGATCTTAATCCGGAAGCGGAAAGGTTTTACAACATGCTTCAAGATGCTCAACGTCCATTATGGGAAGGTTGTGAACATATTCAACATACTGAACATACAACGCTATCAGCAACCCTAGCAACACTACAGTTGAAGAGTGATCACCATATGAGTGAGTCTGCTTACAACGGCTGGATGCAGCTCATGCGTCAGGTTGTTCCTAAAGACAATAATTTGGCGAAGGATTTTTACCAAGCAAAGAGAAAGGTGAAAGAGCTTGGGCTCGGATGCACAAAGATTCATTACTGCCCCAAAGGATGTATGCTATATTACGGTGATTACATTGACCGCACCAAATGTGAGTTTTGTAAGCATGACAGGTACAAAGTTGTGAGGGACGGAAGGAAAACGACATGTGAAGCCTATAGCAAGATGTGGTACTTTCCTATTGTGCCTAGACTTAAAAGATTGTATGCTTCCGAACAAACAGCTTGTCACATGAGATGGCACCGTGAGCATTGTAGGGATGAAAAATATGTGACGCATCCATCAGATGCCGAAGCTTGGGTTCATTTTGATGAGGCGAATCCTTCGTTTGCAGCGAAGCCACGTAATGTGCGTATTGGTTTATGTTCGGATGGGTTTGCTCCTTTTAATCAGACGGGTAGGAATTATTCTTGTTGGCCTGTTATTGTGACCTTTTTTATAGTATGTGTGACAATGTGAATGTGGTGCCAACTGCCAATAAGTCCAAGTTCAAATGCAAAATTTTCTATGGTTTATCTGTATAATGTCTTTGTAGTGAATGAATTAATAATTTAGGAAAAAAATTTAGAAGTTATAGCATCAATGAAATTTTATTATTTTTTTTCATTTTTTCGAGCTAACCTACGAGCCAACCCTAACCCGACTCGGGTCGAGTGGGGTTGAGTTTTCTGGCTCGTTTATTTTTCGAGCCAACTCTAACCCGGCTCGTTTTTTTCGGGTTAAGCGCGGGTTGGGTTGGGTTGAGCCAGGTTGACCCGTTTTCCCAACCCTAATATAACATGATACTTCGATATATAAATTTTAAAAAATATTAGATTTCGACATATTAGGACACATTTTGATATTAAATAATGTTTTTAATTTATATAGTGTATATTATATTCAATATTCAATAATTTAATAAAAAATAAGATAAACTTATAATACTCATCAATTTTATAAAGAAACATAAAATATCACAAATATTTATATTAAACTCACTAAAATGGTAATTGTAATGCAACGAATCTAATAGTTAGAACTAAAAACGCAACGCAACATTTGAATCATTTCTGAGTCTCTGCAACACATGTTGGAGTGTTGGAAAATGTCAAAATGTCGAAAAATGTCAAATATGACACGTCAAATTTTTTGAAATTTCAGTATATAAGAACTCAAATGATATAAAATTTATGTTGAAAATATAATGTGAGCAATCCCATGGTTTGGGCAAAAATGATGGAGATGTTTTGAATTTGGAGAGATGGGACCGGGCATGAAAGGTAAGCTTTGATATATCATAGGCGAAATAATTCATTTACTACAGTTTCGTGCACTGGATACTGTGTATATAATAATAAATTTGTATAAACAATAATGCGAAGAAGGTGACTTTTGGTGATGTTACAACGATTGTGGTGGTCTAATTCGAAGTTTGTGTAATGTGTAAAGTATAACTGGGCATAGATTTTCATTCCAATATAGATTCGGGGTCGGGATACTGTGTATAAAATAATAAAGTTGTTAAAATTATGGAAATGCAGGCGTATATAGTAATGAGTTCAGAAATATGCCAAAGAGTGGCACAGTGTGTTTCTAGTACCGAACAAAGACAAAGCTAGTATATTTCCAAAAGAAAAAAAGAAGACAAAACTAGTAGCACGTGGCTATTTTGAGGATTCTATAATATACAGAGTAAATACTCTTTTTGTTCTCAGCAAATTTCACGATGCTCGTTTTAGTCCCTAGCAAATAAAAAGGTCTATCGTCGTCTCTAAGAAATTCAAAATGGACTCATTTAGTTGAAATTGTGGTCCCTCACAAATTTAAAAAAGACCCATATTAGTCCTAAAAGGACTAAAATAGGTTCATTTTGAATTTCTTAAGGACCACGATGAGCTTTTTTATTTGCTAGGAACTAAAGCAGACATCGTAAAATTTGCTGAGGACAAAAATGGTATTTACTCTAATATATATAACAGTGGACTTTGAATCTCTTAATTTTTTTAGTTTCGGTAGCATTAGAAAAGATGTTTGTTTTTTTTTTCTTCTTCTAAAAATTGATAATTAACGTCATTAAATTGGAAAAAAAATAAACCATGCTAGAGATCCAAAAATCTTACGTCAATAAAGATAGGTGAAATCAGTGATAGCCCTATAAAAAAAATTAATAAAGGAATATTGTGGTAAAATAATAATGGCTTGAGATGTTCATGATGATCAATATTATCAAATAGTCAATAAGACAAAAAATTATTTTTTAAAAACAACCACTTATACTGTATTATACTATATATTTATTTATAGGATTAATATTATTCATCTTGTAGAAAATAAAATTATTTTCTACACACACATAAAAATGTGTGTGACCCGTGTAGGACCATTTGAAGGAAAAAGAAACAAAAAATATAGATTTCACACACTTTTATATATGTATATAAGATAATTTCATTTCTTTTAATATTATCTTATTTTTTTGGAAATATTCCAATTCGGAACGAGTTCAGGATTAAGGTTTTAAACCCCTTCCAAAGGTGGTACTGGGAGATTCGAACACATGCTCTCACCCCATCTGCTTAGCTCACATACGCCAACTGAACTACCACATTTGATTTTTAATGTTATCTTTAATCCGCTTATTTATACTAATTTTCAATATCCATAAAACTCATCCTAAATAATTATTTGGTCCGATCTCAACGATTTGACACTGTGGGGTGCAGGCTCTCGAAGAAGGGGCTAGGCCCGCTTTCAAATATGAGCTCCTGGAAAAGAAAAATGGTTAAGACAAATAAAAGCCCAAAACTTGGTAAGAATGAAAAGAAGCCAGAAAACAAATGAAGCCCAAAACTGATAAGATACATCAATAGTATACATTATTAAAAATAGAGCAGCAAATTATCAACGACCCAAAATCCATGTGAAAACAAAGGATGAGAATGAAAAATTCAGGCTAAAAGGGGCTCGTGGGACATAAATTCCTAGACAGACTTTGGAAAATGGAAAATGGAAAACAAGTAATCCAAAAGAGAAAGTTGTTCCCTATGTAATTTTTGTTTTCAATCACTCGAACCCAAAAGAGCATCTAGCTAAGTTAAAATGCCATGGCCAATTTTTATGATCTCGCAGGCATGGTTGACCTCTCTCATATGGTGCAGGCCTAAGTTTTCATTTTTCTCCTATTTACATATTTTTTGAATTTGTATGAATAAGAAGTTTTACATCAAATCTTAATTATTGATTTTATTTATTTGTAATTTAATTTGGAGGTTGGGTTGATCTTGACCGCCAGTCCGCCATACAGTTTCTGGAAGAAGAATAGGTTAGATTTTTTTTTTAAGTAGATGGATTAGGTCAGATATTAATATTGAGACATAAATTACAGGGAACGCTCTCGCTTGACCCGATTGGGATTTCATAGAATTAAATATCATTTTGTTCAAATCAAATTCTAACGAAAATCTACTAGGATGTAACAAAACAGAGGGCACCATCTAAGTGCTCTCTCAATTTCCCACAGGTCATTCTGCTTTAAATTCTTACTTTTATTAATTTATTGTGTTCGAAATATATATTAATTAAAATTAACTTTGTTTCTTTCACCTCAAATTTTGTGTTAACCTATTTTACGTAATTGAAGTTGTGCTCTATTCTATGGGCTACGCCAGCACGAGACTAAACTAACCATTAATTTGACTATCACTATCTGAAGCGACGTTTCTAATTGATCTCCAGCATGGATTTTAGTGTTGTTATGTTAAGCAGGGCACATGCATAAAAATTGGAAGAGTTAAGTTGAACTATTATATATAGGAAGACTGGCTTCGTATTTGAAGACATTAAGAATGGGAAAACACCCCAATAATAGTGATGCATAATTAAATATAATTGATACTGATATTGAATAATAATATTAGGGTATGAAATGAGTTTCGCATAATTCAGTTTGATGATTAATATACCAATTTTTTTTCTCCTTATATCTTTTTATTAATTATCATCCCCAACACTTTTTGGAGAGGTTTAAAGTCTTAATTCTGGATCAGCTCCGAATCGGATTAGTTGCGAAGCAATGAACCGATTGAAATATTTCCAAAAAAATAATTATCATTCCCAATACATCAAATATTAAAAAGTGTACTTATTTGTTTACCAAAAAAATAAAACAAGTGTACTTATTTTACGCCAGAGAAAAACCAAAATAACAAAAGTATTAATATGATAGTATTTCCACAAAGTATGATGACTATTTCTTAATGTAATTATCATTAAAATTATTAAATCACGATTGTTGACCGAATTAGATCACATTTTCTCCAACGCAGCCAACAATTGTTTTTCTAAATTATTTCGCTCTTATTTTTTTGTTAACTTTTTAATTTATCGAGAGCTAAATGTTTAAAGAATTACCTTTATGGAGTATGTCTAATTTTTTTCTTCTTTAGTACACAATAAATAAGAAATTAACAATTATCTTTTAAACTTTTTATTCTTCTCTTTCGAAAATAGCTTAAACACGTAGCTAGCTACGTATGTTCTGATGAAAACCCAATCGAACAAAATTTCTTTTATATTTTCCTCTTCTTCTTTTATATATTTCCATTCTCATTTATTGCATCTTTTTTAAATAGCAACAGCTAAACATAAATTTGCATTCTCATTTGCATTTTCAGCTAATGGATTTTAAACAGAAATTTATTATTACTTAGAAGTTATTAATACAGAATAAAATTATTAACTAATTTCTGAAAATATATTGGGTGCACTACTCTACCGACTACAAACAAATAATTATAAATAATTTCATCAAAAAAATAATGAGTTTAATATTTTTCATTTTATAGGAGATAAATTTCTAATTTATCGTCCATGCAGACAAATAACGGATTACAATCAGGAGGCTCCACATCTATGATTGGAGAAATTCAAGGAAACGAAAATCATATTTCTGCGCATGAAAATCAGGCAAGTAATCCGGTGATTAATAGCAGCAATAATGACAGCAATAATAAGGGGAAAACGGTCGTTGTGGAAAACGGAAACTCAGTATAAACTTGCATGGAAAAAAATTGATGATGGACAGCTGTACATGGCTGAGGATCCAATTGATAATGAGCAATTAAAAAAAACGGTCATCAGGGAACAAATTGCGACTCATCAACGAAGGCAGCAGCAAACCACTGGGAGAGAAATGACGCAAGCATCATCGGTAAAAATCCTGCAGAACCCTGTGCGAAGTGAGACTAGTAGAAAGGGAACCTTGGAGGCTAGCCATATGTTAGTCGATCATAATGATGCAACTACAATCAATATGCTTTTGGCTCATCCACCAAGACCGCCAGACCCTATTTCTAATCAAGGGCAGATTCAAAATGTGACAGATATTGATATGGTTTCATTAGAGAATAATAGCTTAAATACAGATGAGATGATGGAGCGTTTAGAGGTTCCAGTGATCAATGATTCAAAACACATGTCTTAATGTCAGTCCTTC